GTGGGCGGGCGCCCATTTGACCATTTCTACCGAGACTCCGTCGTCCCCCGGGGCTTTGCCCACTTTCATCTTTTGTATTGCCCTCATGATTTCTGCTTTTTGGGGTGTTTCGGTCATCCATGTGGCGGTTTGGGGGTTTTGAGGAATACTTTGCCAGACGCGGTCTGCTACCATCTGTGCGCCGTTTTGGATTTGTTGGAAGTGGCGCCGCCAGGAGTCGGCTTCTGCGAAAGGATTGCTAGATACAGTTCTCATTTGGGTTTGTGTGTTGTTGGCTTTCCTGACCTGAAGTTTGTGCATGATACTGTAAAGTGCATGATGGTCACCGCGTTGTTCGGCGTCCTCGGCTTCCTGTCCTAACCCATCCCAATATTCACGCTCCCATTTGGTGAAAGCCCGCTTCTTAGTTCTCTTTACGCTTTGGAGCTGTCTTTGGTTTGTTGTGTTGAGCGGGGATGTGGTGTGGGTGTTGTTGGAGAGCCTGGGTGGCCTGTAGGAGGTGTGCTTTGGCCCTGGAGACTTGTTGGTTAAGGTTGTTAATTTCCGCCTGTCTCCCTAAAAACCAAGGTTTACCCCTTTTGTTCTCAGTGATCCCAAAAATCTGAGTGGCTGTGTCCTTGAGTAATTGTGCTAGGTCTGTCCAATTACTGGTCTGGTTGCCTGCGTCTAGCTGCTGCTGTATGGCCTCGCTGTATTGCTGCCGAAGAGTGATGGCTCCATTTGATTTGCCCCTGCCTTTGTGTGTGGCTGGCCGAGGTGGGAGGGTGGGTTGCTTCTGGTAGCCCTTAGGGGGTGCGATTTTGATGGTGATCTCGACTGGGGAGTGGTCAGTGTAGGGGGTCCAATCACGATGGAGAGCCTCCCAAGCTACCTCTGGGTGTATGGTGAGGACCCTATGGATGTTGCCCAAATGCTTCTTTGCAACCAGGAAGTAGTCCAGAAGGTGTCCTGTGTTGTATCGTGGGTGCCACCACGTGGTTTTGTTGTTCTGGGGTGTCCACGTGTTAGCTATGACTAATCCCTGATCCTGACAGAAATGGATGAGTTGGTGGCCGCGGGAATTGCGTTTCGGGGGTCCGAAGGGGCCTAGGGCAGTGGTATTGGCATCCCTTATACCTACCTCTGCATTGAAATCTCCTCCTAGTAAGAGAATGTGGCGTGGTTTGACCTGATCAATTAGGTGCTCCAGGTCCTCTAGATACTCCTGTTGTTCTTCCACTGTTGTGTTTGTGCTAGGGGCGTACGTGGCGATTACCGAGAGTCCTAATTTCTGATAACAAGGTATCTGAATGAGCATGCTGCGGCACTGCGCCCCCTTGGCATCCGTGTTGACTACTATGCCATAATTCCTCCATGCCGCAGTCCATTTTTCGTTTAGCGCGATAGCGACCCGGCCTCTGCTGATGATGGTCCATTTCGGTTGGGATTGGGATTGAGTTTCCAGCGTTACATTGGTGCCTAATTTGGTGTCGCTAAGTGTGACAATTTCCCATTTGCGTAACTCCCATATGTCTATTAGGGCGTCCAGTTTCTGATCTTGGTCTATGTTGCCTGCTCTGGCTCCCAGTTGTCTTGTGTTCCATGTTCCCATGTGACAAAGTCTTTTGTGTTGTCTGTTGCGCTTGAAGCGGTCTAGCCATTTACCATGGCCTATCCTCTTCCTTTTTTGTTCGCGTTTAACTTTCAGCCTACCGACCCTCGAGAGGATCGAGCGCATGAGACGATGTTGATCCCCACAGCTGATGGTTTTGGGTTGAGTTGTCTGCTCTGTGCGGGCTTCTTCTATTGTGCTGTGCCCTTGGGCCTAGGTGCGGCGGTGTATTGCAAGAGTCCATATTGAAGAAGACCTGTGTAAAAAAAAAACGACGGGGGGGGGGAGCAAGGGTGAGAGAGAATGAAAGAAACAGACCCCAAACGACAATTACGAGACAGATACTGACCTCCTTTAGGTTGTGCAATTCCTTTTCCTTCGTTTTGCATGTCCATGTGCGTCGAGAGGCAATGTATGGATAGACAACAGACCAGAAAGAACCCACCCGGCGAGGCGAGATGTCGGAGCCCACCCGCCATCTCAAGATAACAGACCATAACCAAGGGAAGGGTGGAAACCGAACAAGTCCCCAAGACGGTTGTTCACCCCAACGCCCGAGGTTATTTTCTGGTTTGTTACCTTGTTTGTGCTTCACCCTCTTGCCTTTGCAAGAGCGCCCCCGAAGGGGAGTGGTGTTTGCCTCGTCGGCTCCTAACATGGTCCAGGTGACCTGCTTGGTGTGATCCAAAGTGACATGTTAAGGAGCATGCTCGGGGTGTAGAGATACCATGGAGCTTAAAAGACTGTTTGAAGTACGTGCGTTGAGTGTACACTGAATTATTTAGTCTGGGGTGACGTCCAACTTTGATCGCTGGCTCTGGTATTTTATGATGGACAGGCTGTGAGTCCGACGAGTTTCCAGGGGACACCGCGTGGAGGTTTAGCACGTGTCCGGTCAACAACTGTCCGTGTTGTTGATCCTCACTGTGTGTCCTGCTTGGGTTGGCAGGTACGTGACCGCAGCATATGACATGAGAGTGTTCAATGACGGCCCTGTTCATGCCTCTGTCTCTTTTTTTTCTCATGCGCTCGCTAAATCTCCGCTCTCAGTGCGATCCACAGTGACCCTATGCTAAGATCATCATCATCATCGAGCTCACAGCGCCGCCATGCGTGGCACCGAGCTACTTGGCTCCCAGGGTTCGTGTTGTATTGGAAAAAAAAAAGGAGTGAGAGAGTCGTGATCCGATCAATAATATATGTCGTAAAGTACTGTTGCAATGCTTCGGGAATATTATCTGTAGTTAAGAAGTGGAATGATTGAACTGATGTGAATTAGTCCCTATTAGATCCCTTAATGCCTCCTATCCACCGGTGAAACGTGCAAGTTTCCTGTACAGCTGACGGTAGCAGTGTACGTGGTGCAAAAAAGCAGTGTAGTTTTTTTTTTTCTGGTGGGTACGTACCGGTTCAAAAACCTGTGCCCTTTAAAAATTGTCGTTTGCGTCGTGCTTGATGGGGCCTCGGCACTGGAGTGGATCTTGAGACAAACAGAAAATTCAAAAAGACCATTCCGAACAGGGGTTAAAGCAGAGTTGCTTTCTGCACCCCCAGGCCGAGGCTCCCCTTCGTTGTGCTATAGCTACCTCTTTGAAAAAATGTTCAAAACATCGACAAAAACAGGGGAACCACACGGGGATGCTTAGATGACAGCTTAAGTGAACTTGATGTACTCAAGAAAACTAGTCAGTTGAAGAAAACCCAGTAGAGAACCATCATTTGCAAATTTCAAAGAGGTAGCGTGACGTTCCTGTACTGTCGAGATCTAGCCGCTAGCTGGGGGTGGGGGAGGGCCAGCTCCTTCGGGGCGAGGTTGCGTGTCGTTGGGTGGGGGTGCACCTACCGGGCTCAGGTGACGGGGGCTGCGGCTGCGATTTTTTCCTTTGCCTCCTTTGTTACCTTCCTGCACCTTTCCTTTTCCTTTTCCTCGTCCTTTGTTGCCCTCCTGTGCTTTTCCTTTGCCTTTACCCTTACCCTGTAGGATTGCAGGCTTTTTGTTGTCGTAGCTGACGCGCTGTGGGATTTCCATTGTGCGCAGTTTTTCGCCAATGATATGGGTTAGATAATATGCCAGCTTCAGGGAACCTTCAACATTGCGGAATACCAACAAGTAGTGATTTTCCCCCTGTTGGAAGATGCCGACAATGTTCCTCTGGGTCATGAACTCTAGGAATTCCAGGGCCATCGGCCTCTCTCCCATTATCCATTGGCTGATTACTGCACTTACGCCCGCGTCTCTGCACTCACGCTCTAAGCGCTCGAAAATCTCACGTGTGCCCGCTGCCATTCGCGGCGCACTCCACTCTTGTCCCATAACTTCAGCAAAGAAAGCCAACAACGGAGGAGTCATATCCTTTACCACATTCTTTAGGTCATGGGCGGCTTTCAGCCGGGTGAAGATGGGCGTGAGAAAAGTGAAGTTCCAGAGCATTACCCTCAAACCCTGGGTTACATAGTGCAGGTCGCGGGCGATTCGAATTGTGTCCTGGCTAGGAGGCATCTTCAACCTGTATCCTTTTTTTTTTTTCGGGGGGTGGCGGTTTTTTTTTTGAGCCAGTCTGCGATCTAGGGAACCACAGATTCATGTATGGAGTTTGTGTTTGAGTTTGAATGAATAGCTGACAAGAAATACCCGATGAGGGGAGGAGAAAGTAGCGCAAGTGAACGGAGTGAAGGGAAAGAGTGGAGAGATAGATTTCACGTGTAGTTCCTAAAATAAAAACACGCCAAACAATGCACGCCGTGCTACCGCCAGAGAGCGGTCTTGGGGGCGCCAAAGGACGTTAGGTGCCAAAGAACACCTCCCCCGTTGTTGTGCATTGTGCAAGTCAGTGTGTTTGTGTGTGTACGCGTGCGCACATGTGAAGTGTTTGCCAGGGTGCGCGCATGCACGCCGTGCTACCGCCAAAGAGCGGTCTGAGGGGCGCCAAAGGACGTCAGGTGCCAAAGAACACCTCCCCCGCAGTTGTGTATTGTGTGTGTGCAAGTGTGTGCACGCGCGCGCAAGTGTGGCAGGTGTGTGAAGGTGCGCTCATGCGTGGTGCTGCCGTCAAAGAGCGTCTTCGGGGGCGCCAGAGGACGTTAGGTGCCAGAGAACACCTCCCCCACGTTGTGAGCATCAGTGCATGTGTGTGTCAGCACGTGTGTCTGTGCAGCGTGCGAGGGGTAGAGTCGGGGATGGCGGCAAGAGGAAAAAAGGTAAAAAGTAGGTCGGAACGGTGAAAGACAAACATTACTCAAAAAGTACCTCGGCGTTTCTGGACTTTCTCGTGACTGATGCGACGTTCCTTGGTTTCCCAAATTCCCTGACCACCCAACGTCTACGTCAAGCAAGGTCGATCACTTTTCGACACCCTCGCCTACAAATCGACATGCTCGTCGCAATTTTGGCTTCATGGCTTTTCATGCT